TTCTCCATGATCTTCGGTACTGTTCCTCCATTTTCGGCACTGTTCCTCCATGATCTGGTAATGGGATTGCAGGTCTGGCAGTTATTTAATAGTTATCCGATTTTTATTTAACCTTATCTCCAACAACCTTAAAGATAATTACCTAAAAATCCTCAATTTCCCATTTTAAATCAAACTCAAACTACCAGATCCAATCTTATCTTCTGCCACCTAAGATCCAACCTCCATGGAAATCCGTCTGGGCCATTAAATTGTAAGCCAGTCCAGCCCAAATCCAGCCTATTGATTTTCTTGATGATTGGGTTTTACCTTGACACGTGGCCTTACCCTATTGGTTTATTTTAGGTGTAAACAATAGGATTTCAAAAAATTTTAAAAATCATAAGATATTTTTAACTTCTACCCCTATCACATAAGTTAAGAGCTCATTTTTATTATAAATGTATAAAACTTTTTTAAAAAGTGGCATTAATTTTAATATTGATGTCAAATAAATAAATTTAATTAAATAATTAATAAATTAAAGATAATTTTTTATTTTTTAAATATAAATTTATTACAAAAATAAATATTTATTATATTTTTAATTTGTGTTTTTAAAAAGACGTAAGATCAAAAACTACACAGCCTTATTCATTAAGGGTATTAATTTGCCTCTCAATTTATTTACCAACTTGTGATTGCTTAAAGAATTAATTCATCATAAATTCTTTTGTTGTAGTATGGAAAGGGAAGCCTCCCTTGGACCAAAAAATAAAAAAAAGGTTGTGTATATTCTATTTTGCGGGGAGAGCAGGACCCCAGGACCCCACGAACGGGACGGTGAAATTTTCTGCTAAATATCATTCCCGCCCCCGCACCTCGTGCGAGAGTTAACCCATCCTCGCTTCGTCCAGGGTGGGTCTTGCGGGGATCGCAGCGGATTTTTAGCAATTCAAGGAGGAGAGGGACAGAATCTTGGCTTACCAAATTTTAAATAATAATAATGTGAAAGTGAAATGTCTGTTTCCATAATCAGAATCCCACTGTATTTTATTCCCCTATTTAGGCTTTGTTTGTTTGTGTTTTCTTGTGTTGTGAAATTGTAAGGGTTTGCCTAATTTATGTTTTTTAAGTATAAATAAAATTTTATTAATTAAGATATTTATAATTAATTTTACATAAAATTTTATATTAAATTTATATTTTTTTAATAAATTTTGATTATAAATATTATATTATATTTTAATTGAATTTAATTTAAAAATTTATACAAAATTAATTGTAAATATTATAATTAATGATACTTAATTTATATCTTAAAAAATCTCATATTGTAATTGTAAGTTTTTTCTTATTTTTATTACCCAAAATATATATAATATTAATTAAAATTAATTAAAAATCATAAATTTATATTTTAAAATAAATTTATTATGTAAAAAAAGTTTATACAAAGCACTGACAAACAAAAACTTTCAAACAAGAATGCGTTCAGAACCACTTAATCAAAATTAACGAAGGAAGAAAAGGCTTTTAATTAAGTTTTGAGAAGCCATGAAGGCGGTGTTTAGCCATGGCGCACCCTGTTTTGTCCTAGCGATTTCACTTCTTTTCCTCATACTTCTATCCTATACGTCTCCGTTGAACCAGATTAATGGCCTCACCAACTTCTTCTCCGCCTTCACCCCTCAAAACCGGAGCATAGGCAGTCAAGAAGCCAGAAGGGCCTGTCCGTTGGTGGTCGCTCCGGCATCTACAGCGGCTGCCCAACTACAAAAACCTAACAGCGTCTTTGAGGTTGGAGACAATATTACACCAATCAGGAGGTCGAATAAATTGAGCGGAATTGATTTTTTTTTTTTTTTTGATTTTTAAAAATTTTTTCTCTAATCTTTTACAAGTGCTTTATTTTTTATTTCGTTATAAATCTGGCAGAAGAGTAGTTTGGAGAGAATTGAAGACGGATTGGCGGCGGCGCGAGCAGCCATTGTAGAAGCAATCCGATTAAGGAACTATACGTCCAAGAAGGAAGAGACGTTCATTCTCAGAGGAGATATTTACAGAAATCCGTACGCTTTTCACCAGTTAAGTATTGAGTCTATGTATTGTCTACTACTACGTTCCTCTTTTACTAAATTTCCTTAAAAAGTCAGGACAACTCTAAGCAAACTAACTTCCATATCAATTTTAGACCACACTTTAATCTCATTATTATAGAGTAAAAAAATATATTAAATTAAATATGTACTAATCAATTTTAACTTAATATGTAGACACTTATTTAATGTGAATTGGGTTGTAAAACTCTAGTGTGGGATACTCTCTAATGTACAACATAAAAAAAAAAAAAATGCAAATCACAGTGGGTATTTGGTTTGTCTTAATTTCCAAATTCCACTGACTCTGAAGCCAGCTTGACCTCTCAGCTCTCATACTGTCATTAAGGAATCCTCACTCATCAGTATACTGCATGTGAGCGTACTGCTTCAGACTTAATCCTCTATGAAACTATTTGATGGAATGGTTTGAAACTAACAATTCTATTCAATCTAACAATTGATAATTATTATTAATAATAATTTAAAAACTCTTATTAATTAGATTAGATAAAACCACTAAATACCTAGATGTTAGTTTTAAAATATTATGCTAAACAACCCTTTAGATTAGTTTCTCCCTTGATTAAATATACAATGAAAAATTTTATTTTACTTGTCTATTTTTTATTATTTATTGTTTATTTTCTATTATTGAATCATTAATTTATTATAAAACTAGATATAATTTTTTTCTCTTCCACTAATAGAAAACAATTTTTAATAGACAGAAAATTCTGTTAATTATACTTATAATCAACAAAAAAAATTGTCAAATAAATGTGTGTTAAAAATAAGTATAATCCACAGAAATGTTTTCTGTTGATTATACACGTATAATCGATAGACATAGTTGTTGATTATGTTGGTATCTGATTTAAAAAAAATAAAAAAAAATAATTTTATATTTATTAATTAATTATAAATATTAACCAAAATATATGTAAAACAACCATGTGTTGCACTAATATATATGTATATATATATAGATAAATCTACAAAAACCAATTGAAAAACTATAATATTTTGCAAATATTTTGAAAATAATGAAAAAAAAGAAGAAGGAAATTGAAAGCATAAATCAAAAGTAGAATTAGAAATTACCTCATAATATGATTTCAACCTTAATAACCTACACAAAAAAAATATTATTACATCAAATAAAAATAATTGAATAATATAGAAACTAAAATAAATGAAAAAAAAAACCTAAGACTTAGAACGATAGAAGGAATTGAAGGGAAAAGGTGAAGTAATGTAAAACCAATAAAAGAAGAACAGGAGAGGTAACTAGAAAGGGAAAAGATCAAGAATTAAAATGGTAGAGTTTAGGGAGAAGGGAGGATGAAGAAAGTTAAAAAGAAAAAAAAACAATGAAAGATTTAGAAAGGCAGAAAAAAAGAGAGAAGATGAAGCAAGGTAGAAGAGAAGGAAGGATGCGCCAAGAAGAAAGGACAGGACACGCACATCTGTAGAAAAGGAAAGGAGGATGGGAAATTTTAGAGAAAAAGAGATGAGAAAATATTTGAAAGTTCTGTTCCTGACTTCATACATATAAAGAAAGTATAGTCGACAATATTTCTGTCGATTATATTTTGTTGGTTATATTTTGAATTTGTTATACCACAAAATTTAATATTTTTTTGGGAAGATAAGGCGAGATATAAGTATAATCGACAGAAATTCTATCGATTATACTTACATAATTGACAGGCAATAATGGTTATCGGTTATATTAAAATTTCCTATATATATAAATATATAAATTTAGTAATAAAAATTTCAAACTATCAAAAATGAAATTATTGTTAATTAATATTCTACACATATATACTTTGATTAAATTATCAATTCTAATATTAAATATTTATAATTAACTTAGTTATTATATATACATAAAATATGTAAAATATTAATTAAAAATAATCTCATATTTGATAGTGTTAAATTTTTATTTTCAAATTTATAATTTATAAGACATATAATATATTTATCAATACTACTAATAGAAGGTTAAATATTAATATATATATATATATATATATTAACATATATGCTTGTATAATCGATAAAAAAGGTTGTTGATTATGCAAGTATAATCAACAAAAAAACTATCAATTAAATACAAGTATAATCAATAGAAAAGGCTATATTCTATCAATATATTGGCTATCGATTATATCTGTATAATCAACACTTTATCATAATTGACAGAGTTTTTGTCGATTGATCAAGTATAATCGATAGTTTTTTTACTGTCGATTATATTTTTATCAATTATATACTATTTTCTAGTAGTGTTCCTTCCACATCTAGATTTAATGTTCTAGTATGGTTAACTCCTGAAGTTTTAGTAGTTGAAGTAACTTTGTTATTGGTATAAAGACTTTCACACATTTATTATAAGAGTTCAAACCTATATGTTCCCTCCCCGTCACCTTCCCCACAACTTTGAACTATTGGTTCTAGTAAATTAAAAAAAATGGTATGGTTGAATCCAACTAAATATTAGTTATTTTTCTATAATTGAATGAATACTTAATGGGTACAACTTATGGTTTAACACATTACATAACATATAGTAAAAATTTATTATTTTTTAGTATAAAATTAAAGATAAATAAATTTAAAGATGCAACTATGTATAAAGGATGCAAAAATTGATTGAATCAATTGTATTTATATTATATTTTAATGGTTAAATTAGATAAATGTCAAAAAGTATATTGAATTAAATAGTATATCAATCATTTTTTTATAGAATTATTGGTTTGAGGAACGGCAAAAAAATTTATCGGCTTGAAGAGAATTTCACAAAATTAGAATGTCGAATATTATATGGGATTTTAGTAATTCAGGGTGCATTAATTATATACTTTTTATAATTACTTAGTGCAAAAATCTGACAGATAGAAATGTTTGAATATGGCATATAACATAAGAAGGAAGAAGAATCAAGTTTTGAAGATGGGTAGAAAAAGGGAATTTGTTTACAAAAAACAAGAAGTGGGGATTTCAAATATCGGAATGATTTTGACAATTAACAGCCATGCACAATGAGTTTGGATTGAGGAATTTCGAAGAAAAGGAAGAAAAGTGAAGGGAAGATGTATCATTTTCTTTGTTTAGATTGCATTCGTGATGGTTTTTTTTTTTCGTCCCAAACTATAAGTGTCATTATTTAACTTCATCAAATATATATATGCATTTGTAGATAATTTATGATTTATGTTTATTATCCTTATAATTAATAAATATTTAAATATTTAAATATTTTTGATAATCCTCCCATCTTAGAATAATAAATATTTTTATTTAAAATTTATTTTAAATTAATTGTCATATTTTCATACTTTAAAAGAGATAGATATTTTTTTAATTTTAATTTTATTATTATCTCTTTAACTTCAATTATTCATATTATTTGGGATAAAGGAAGTAATAAAATGGTTAATTAAAGTAAGCAATGATAATAATGTTAAAATAAATAAAAGATAGTTGTTTACCTTATAAAATTATAAAAAAACAATTAATTTAAAATAAATTTTTTTAAAAAATAATTATTTTAAAATAAATAGAGTAATTTATCTACTATTTAAATACTACATATCTAATTTCATACCAAATTATTTGGTCCTTTCTGATTGAGCAAAATTCAAAATCAAAGGCTAAAGGTTTCCCCCTATATTCCCCCTATATTCATTATACATATTGATGATCTTTACATTATCTTAGGAGTCACATAGAGATGGAGAAGAGACTCAAGGTGTGGGTCTACAAGGAAGGCCAGCTCCCGTTGTTCCACGGCGGTCCATTGAAAGACATCTACGGCATTGAGGGGCAGTTCCTCGACGAGTTGGAGGGCGGAAAGAGCCCCTTCATAGCTCACCATCCTGATGAGGCACATGTATTCATGGTTCCCGTTAGCATCAGCAACATCATCCGCTACATTTACATGCCCATCGTCACCTATTCTCGCGACAAGCTACAACGCATTGTCACAGATTATATCACTGTCGTTGCAGAGAAGTATCCTTATTGGAACAGAAGCGGCGGAGCTGACCATTTTTTAGTCTCTTGCCATGATTGGGTATGTTGTTTGTTCAACAATAAAGTTTGTGCCAATCTATTTAGTAGACGTGAATTAAGTAAATATCAATTTTATTAAACTCTTGTTTCAGGCACCCGATGTTTCAGGTACCCGATGTTTCAGGTTTGAATCCTGAGTTTTACACTAGGGTACTCTGCAATGCTAATACATCAGAAGGGTTTCAGCCCAAGGGAGACGTTTCAATACCGGAAATCAAAGTTCCCCCTAACAAGCTCAGATCGCCCCACCAAGATATTCCCCCAAGTAAACGTTTCATCCTCGCTTTTTTCGCTGGTGGTGCTCATGGTCACATAAGAAAAATCTTGTTTGAGCACTGGAAAGAAAAAGACATCGAAGTTCAGGTGTACGGGTACCTTAGTACAGAGATAGACTACTTCACACTAATGGCTCGGAGCAGGTTTTGCTTGTGCCCGAGCGGCTATGAAGTGGCGAGTCCTAGAGTGGTGTCAGCGATTGTAACGGGATGCGTTCCTGTAATTATTTCTGATTATTACGCACTGCCCTTTAGTGATGTTCTTCGCTGGGATAAGTTCTCCATTCATATCCCGTCTGCCAAGATACCGGAGATTAAGACAATATTGAAAAGGATACCAATGAAAAAGTACTTGAAAATGCGGGAGAGGGTAAAGCAAGTTCAGAGGCATTTCATCATAAACAGGCCAGCACAGCCGTTTGACATGTTTCATATGATTCTTCATTCTGTGTGGCTGAGGAGGATAAGTTTCAGGCTGCCATCTTTATGATATGTTGGCAAAAAGAAACACAATGTATTACTAGCCGTCCCTCCCGCTCCATGATTTAGCCTTGAAAATAATTCTCAGCTTATCGTAATTATGGTTAAAAGTTAGCAATGGATTTTTCAACTTTTGTAACTAAGAATCGAGCCTTATAGCTTTAATTTTTGTATTTGCAGCCGTTACTTTTAGTCATGACATTACATTGGTGTAGCAAATTATGGTAAAATTCTTTTGCTATAGATATTAATATCCATAGTAGTTAACTTGAAGCTGATTAGTGACCTTATAAACAAATGATTAGTAACGGATGAATCCTACTGTAGCAATAAACTATAGTAATTTAATTAGCTATAATATTAAAGAAATCCATAACTAAAAGAATTAATTATTTGCTATAGGAACACTACTCTTGTAGGGACACTTCATGTAAATATAGTTTAATTTTGCAATATATACTATAGTTACAATGGTATATACAATTATAATGTGTCATTGAATGAGTATAATATATTATTAAATGAGCGGATGCATACAATATTACAAGTAGACTCCTGAATAAAAAAAATTAATTATATAAGAACACATTTTGTTATAAGCTTTTTTTTTGAACGACAATAAATAATTTTATTAGCATGTACAATGGGTACTCCAACCCATATACATTAATTACGTGTAAAAAGAGGCTCTTAGCATAAAATTATGCTTTGTGTCCTCTAGAATCCTTCTTGATCAACCTAGACCTCATGCATAATGCTAGCTTTTGCATCCAACTTGTGAAAGAAATGCCTCCACATTCCCTAATTGCTTGCAACCATTGGTAGGAACGAGCTTGAACTAAGTCAAATAGCTTTCCATTTTTTGGATGAGCACTTTTGAACAGGGTATCATTTCTAACGAGCCATATCACACTCATGGCATTGTAAGCTTTCAATTCCACACGGCATTATAATTATAATATTTTCAATTTTAATTTTAGTTATAGATATGATAAATCTATAACCAAAATATATAATTATTTGCCATAATCTCCTACTTTTAAGCAAAACGTTGCTATAAGCGAAATGTATTCATAGTAACTACATTTCAATTCTAGTTATGGACATAGTAATTTGATTGCTAATATCTATCAATTATCACCCCCAAATTCCTATAGAAAAATTTGATACCAATTTAAGTTTATTGTAGCTAATCAATTTAAGGTTTAGCTATATGTACAATAAAATGGTAATAAAACATTGAAAGATTTTTGCTATGAACATTATTATTCTATGAAATTCATAACTTGATAAAAACATTTAGTCATTCATCATCAACAAATCCATACAATAAACAAAAGGTTCAAGGCAAAACTAATTGTTTACAACATAAATTGCAAAAACTTTAAGATGATGGCCCATGTCATTTGTATTTTAAATGGATGAATGAGATGCTACCCTATTAGATTTGCTATTGGAACTCTTGACAGATCATTTGCCACATGGAAGTTGGAGTCTTAATAGATGAGGATTATTCGTTAGTTGCCTATTTGAATTAAGGTGGATTTGTTATTGCTCTACTTTATGAGATAAATCAATTAAGAGAGATTGAGCTAGCATATAATAAGGACAGGTGGTGAGATCTTGAAGGAGTCTTGACCTAGTCCACTATTTAGATGTCTATCTTCAAGAAACCACTTACATTGTGCAATTGCTAGGTAGTGGGGAGTTTCAAGCATAAATGAAACAAACAAAAGTAATTTTTTGGATCATTTGTCACACGGGTAGCCCTACACACAACCTAGAACTAGCTTTAGCACTTTTAGATGTTGTTAGCAATTAGTCACTTTAGCTTACATATTTTAGTTTTCAACACAATTCTTAGTAGATTGAGGTTGTTTTTAGCATTCAAATAATCAAATTAGTTTATGTAGTCGCTTCTGCAAATTCCCTTTTATGCAATGAACATCAAGCTCTTTAATTTCTACAAGGTACTGTTTCTTTTCTGTCTAATGTTTGTTTAAGGTTTATGATTAGTAGCATTTCCCTAAATGATTACTTTTATGGTATTTACACTTCTTAGTTTTTGACATGTTAGTTTGATCTTTGTTCATATTAGTTTCATGATCATTTAGGATTAAATTTCGAGTAATGTAGTGGTTTAATTTCTAGTTCTATCTATAGACCATAGCTTAATCTAGCAATGAACATGTTTAGTTTAACTTGGATGCATTTTTTATTTGCAAGCTTAGTTTGATTTGCATTTTATTTAGTTCATTTATGATCTATTAACTTTAATTTATGGTAGTGTTTAAGTCCTTAAAGTTGTTTAAGGCAGATGGTAACCCATTTTGCAAGAAGGCATCCTTTTCACTTGCAAATCATAGGAAGGCACAAATTATAACTTTAAACCAATGCTTTTTTAGCCATTTGCATGAAAGTCGACCATGAGAAAGGAAAGGGTCATTAGGAAAATTCTCTTTTCTTGCTTAACAAAACAGCAAATGACACCCTGCATCTAGATCTATCATGTGTGATGTTACTTTAGGATTTTTAAGGAAACACTAATATAAGTAATTTCTAAAGTCCAACAACACTTCACCTAACTAGGGCATGTGTAATACCCCAAAATTTGGGGATATTTTAGCATTAAATAAGGGATTTATTTGAGGAAAAATTTTATGGAGGAGCTTAATAGTCAAATTATTAAGAGTTGAGGAACTTAAAAAGAAAGGGAATTAGGATAAGGATGGCTGAGTTGTTCTTCTTTTTCTTCTTCCTTATCCGCGTGACCTGCTCTTCTTCTTCTTCCCGAAAGCCCCAAGCCCCCGACAGCCTCCTCTTGAAAAACCCGTGAGAAGCTTGTGTTTTTTCCCCTTGTTTTCTTGTCCAAAAACCAGATTTGAGCTTAGAAACCTTCTCCCCTGCTGGAAATTCCAGATCTGCCTTGCTCTGCTTGTCTTCACCGCCGGCTGCTATGTGGGTGGGTGATTTCTGGGCTTTTTCCGGTAAGCCACAGCCATGAACTCCATCTTTTCAGCTTGATTTAGGTTGGGTTTATGTTAAATTTGTTGTTTCTCCAATTTTGGTTAATTCCGTGAGTCCCCCTGCAGAATTTTCTGCAATTGCCGCCGGCTCCCTCACCAGCCAAGCCCGGTTTCTACAGCTGGGAATTTTGGTATGTTGACAGCCCCTCCAAGCCCCGAATTTGTCCATTTATTTGCTGATTTGTGTGTCCGAAAATCTGCTGGAAATACGGGAGAAAATTGATAGTAATTAAACCATGATTTAGCTTAATTTAAGTGGGATTTATGTGATTGAGTGTTAATTGTCTGCTGTGTGATTTTTGGAGAAAATCCTGTGGAATTAGCTAGTGTTTTGGCCAATTTGTGAAAGTCGGGGTTACTGTTCACGTCGTGAGCACTGTTCACGGGTACTGTTCATAGGCACTATTCACACCCCGAGAGTCGACAATTAACGGGGATTTAAATGATTAGTTTGTGATATAAGAACGAATTTGGAGATATTTGATCACGTGGAGATTTATGGAAATAGCTTTGTGATTAGGAATGATCCTAATGATGATTTCAGTGTGAATTTGTGATAGTGGTATTAATTCTTGGAATATTTTGATTAGGTTCTTGATCGTCCTGTCAGTTTAGTACGTGAATTGAGTGCTCGGTTTTGTGGAGTGAGGTAAGTAAAATTATGGTAACGCCCTTCGACTTTTCAAGCATGTTTTGATTTGTTTTTGAAATGGTGGCGGGACTAAACCCGTTTTACACAAGTAT